CTTGGATTTCTTAACACAAGAATCCTTTTTATGATTATTCCACCCATGTGTTCCATAGCTGCATAAGTAAGATGCAAGTGCTCGAATTGGCACCTACTGAGACTGAATAAGGCACATGAAAGCAGAGGTAGTTGTTTGGTTTCTCACTGCCAGCCAAGTAGGAAGGAGAGTTGAATATCTCTCATGCATTCCAATGAAGATTTGTTTTCAACCTCAAAAATGTAACAGATGCTAAAGGTTGCTCTCTCTTGGCCTTAGGCAATGTCCCCTGATGGGGAGGCCATAGTTACAGGAGCTGGAGACGAAACCTTGCGCTTCTGGAACGTCTTCAGTAAAACCCGCTCAACAAAGGTAAGGATGCATTGTGTGGATGGCTGCAGCTGTGTCCTGCAGGAGGCTCAGCCTTTGGGGGTGAATTCAGTCCAAGTTTGTTCTGCTGCCTTGCCTCTGATCTCTTCACCATATCCTGCAGATCGAGGGCTGGATGCAGCGAAGGGTTAAACTTTGCTGAAATATAAAGGGATTTGTAGTCATCCAATGATATAAAAGGTTGCCTCTCTGCGCCCCAGGCAGTGTGGCACAACGTCCTTCTGGCTGTTACAGGGCTACTGAACGTAGCAGCATTTCAGGGAGCTCACCCCAAGCCCACCATCTTCCCTGCTAGCATGCTGCTATGAACTGACCTGGTCCTCAGAGATTATTATCCCCTAGCTCCTTAGGAAACTGCTTAAAATGGTGGCTTGGATGGAAAAGGGATCGTGGATGCTGCCACTGACAACTCACCATCACGGAAAGCAGGTTGTGCCAGATGCTCTGAGAGCTTTTCTGGGTGTCTGGCAGAGGCAGTGGACAATGGCAGAGAGATCTTAAGGAATGAGCTTCAGGGAGTTGGTGTTGCTCACTGCTGCATGTCCCCCTGGTTTCTGATGGCTCTGGGGTACGGCTTTGTGCAAAGCTGTGGGAGTGGCACGCTTGCCTGCCGTGCTCCTTGTTAGCAGTTGGAAAAAACCCATGGGAATATTTATGGTATTGGACTTTGAATGGTGAGCTCAGATCATGCCCTGAGCTAGAGATACCTCACCAGATTAGCAGTTGGGTTTTTTGGGGGTTTTTGTTTGTTTGCTTGCTTGTTTTTTTTAAAAAAGGCAGTCTGCAGCACAATTGTGGACTACTTAGAACCTGCTTTGTCTTTTCTTGTCAGGAGTCTGTATCCGTTCTCAACCTCTTTACCAGGATACGATAAACCCCATAAACTGTGACCCAGGAGACTACAGCCTGACATACCAGGATAAAACCACTACCTTGGTGTGCATGGAACCCCAAACGATCAGCCAGAAGGGGAGGGAGTGCCAGTGGGACTGGAGGACGGACCCAACAGATGCTAATTAAATACATGCTTGTGAACCATGCTGGGCAGCATTTGGGATGGGGTTGGGGAGGGGAGGGAACTGCCAAAGGTTTATGGATTCATCCTTCATAAAGGGAAACGGGTACAAGAGAAATGTTAAACCAGCATCCTCCCACCCTCATGTTGCATACTGGAGAAAACATGTATGACATGGATTGTTGAGACCGGACCAAGGCCATCCCAGCTGCTGTGTTGTCCCCTCTTGGGAGAGATGAGAGTATCTTTGCCTATGTGGGAACAGGTTTAACGTGCTGCTCTGGGTCCCCCTGTTCTTGGATGGACATCTTTGGAGGTAGGAGCCAGCCAGACTAGTTCAATACAACTGGTGCAAGGTGGCTAGGCTCCAGGCTGGGCGTTAGCCTCTCTGATTATCTAAGGGCATTTTTTGTAGCCTGGTATCCCCATTACATGAAGAAACTGGAGAACTGCTTATTTTCCGTTTTTTTTGTTTGTTTGTTTGATTGGTTGGTTTTTTTCCCCAATAGGTACTGTAGTACTTGATACAATCATTCCTGTAAGACAGCTTGATTTTTTGGCATGCTTGACAGCTGCCTTCAAACATACATTTTTGGGCTCTAAACTTTGGAGGAGACTTGAAGAGGCTCCACCTCTGAGGGAGCACATTCAGAAAGTTCTGAAATTGCTATTGCATGTTCTGGGCTGATCCTTTTAGTTAACAGAAAGGAAAAACAATGGCTTTAAAAAAGAAAAATACCAACCAACAACCACCGTGCATGTGGAGCTTCCCACAGTGCCATTTGTGGCAGGCTGGTTGCTCTGGAGTCTTCCTGAGGACAAAAGCAGTTGAGATGCGTTTGAGAAACAAAACGACTCATGTGGATCTGTCTTTTGGAGAGAGCATGGCCTCTTCTGGCTGGAAGGGGGGAAACACCACGTCTGGGCGAGAGGGGGGGTTCTTTCTCTAAAGCAAGGAAGAAGTGTTGCTGTTTTTTATCTCCAAGTCAAAGCCAGGGACCTGTTGTTGTTGGGTTTTTGTTTTTGTTTTTGTTTTGTTTTGTTTTTTTAAGTTGTCTGGGAAGAGAGTGCCTGCTTGTGTGTTTGGAGCCTGCGTGATGAGTGCCGTGGGATGTGACGCAAAGCACTTGTGTGTATGTGTTGCTTTTAATTTAAAGAGAAGCTGTTACGCTCGCAGCAGCCTGTTCCTGTCTTACTTTGTACATGTGCCAATGCTCTCCCTGCTGTGCGCCTGCCTCCTGCCTGCCTCCTGCCCTCTCTCTAGTGCACTGGGATGTGAGTGCTGTTTCCTGTTCGCCTTTGGATTTTCCTGGCTGTGTATATAGACCTTGACCTGTTCTCTGTAGAGTGTATAGGCAATACTTTTCTCTCTTCCCCCCCCCCCGCTTTTTTTTTTCTTCTTTCCCTGAAACCAGACTGTACGGGTGGTGGTGGGAATATGATTGTCTCTCCCCAGTGCCACTGGTATCCTTAGGGCGAGCTTCTGAGGTGTAGGAAGGCTGGTGGGGAGAGAGGCAGTGAGGTGCCATTCTGTTCACCACAGCCTTGACCGCGTGTGCCGTTACACCAGTGCCTGGATCAGGCTCTGGGTGCTACCTCTGTGTGTCGCAGGTACGTGGAGGCACTCGTGAGGAGCTCGTGTTCCGGGAGCTTGCCGCTCCTTAGCAGTCTGGCAGCACTGAGCCTCCAAAGCCCAAACTGGCAGCTACATAGTCATCTTACAGCCTCGGTTGCCTCCAAAATGTAATTTCAATGTAATTTCTGAAATGTGGTTTCAACACAACTACTTTATTGTCGTTCTTGCTGCAGGAGCATGGGGCTTTGTTTAAAAATCGTCTGATGGCCTCCTAGCCCTCTCTTCTTGCTTGTTATATTCACTGGCACAGTTAAACTTCATCATGTGGAAGGAGCACCGCAAAGCACTGAGGAGTTGTTAAAATTCAGTCAGATCATTAAGTTGGCAAGCAGGTTTGAAGTAAAAGGCCACCCGCAGCAAGATGTGGTCTGTCACAGGTGTCTGTCCTGTTGGGCAGCAGAGCCCAGGGACGGGGTGTTTACACCAGAGCTGGAGGTGGTTGGTAGCTGCTGCTGTGGACTTTCTTGTCTGTTGTGGATAGTCTGCTGCCTAAATCCCAACATGCAGACCCCCAGGAGATGCTGGTTTCTCCAGGAAGAAATAGATGATTGCGGGGGGGGGGGGGACACACAAGGTCTCAGCCGTGGGGTGGTTTCACACTGGTTTGTGCCCATTCTGGAGCAGGAGGAGGAGAAGGGAGCCGGGCACTCCAGCCGCGGCGTGGAGCAGCATGGGGCAAGCGTGGCAGCTGCCCTGGCACTCCTGCAGGGATGGTGGATAGAGGGCTGGCCTTGCTTCTCGCCCCACGACATGGGTGCTTTCCCCAGAGGAGTCCCAGGAGCTGCTGGGGCAGTGGGCAGCGCTGTCTGGGCATGCATGGTGTGTGCTGCATCCGCAGCTTGGTGCTCCTTGCTCTGCCAGCATCCAGCTGCACCCCCAGGTGCTGGGGGGGAGGGGGAACATGGCCCCTTGTTGCTCTGTCCCTGCATCGCACTCCTCTCTTGCCAGGGACTTTTACAAACCACATCTCCCACTTTTCTCACTTTGGAGCTGCTTTGGGAGCAAGTTGGCTCATTGCAACTTCTCCCATCATGCTTGGCAGGGAGGGCTAGTGATTTCCAAGCCATGGCTGATCTGCGGCTGAGCGAATTGGCTAACGAGCATGGCGAGAACGAGCTGTTCAGATTGACTTAGCTGTTCAGGCATGGCACAAGCTCCTTCCTCCACCCCGCTCGCAGCTGCCAAGGCAGGAGTGGAGTTCCCAGAAGTGCTCTCTGCAGGTCTTCCACTGCAAGGGTGTGTGTTGGTGGCTGGGTGTGTGCGTCTCGGCTCATGCTGGCGAGCGGTGTGATTGCTGTCGGCTGGCTGGAGTGTGCTGCGGTGTGTTAAATAGGGAAAAGAACAAAGCTAATGTAAGCTTCTGTTTTCAGTGTGTGACCTGCAAGTGCTGAACCGTGCGGGTGGGTTGAGCAAAGGGTCCTCCCAGAGTTTGTGTGATAAAGTCTGCGACCTTGTGGCATTGTTATATATAAGGCATCATATGGTGGGGAAAAAAAAAAAAATAGAGCGTTGTAACTTTTCCATGTAAAGCAATCTAACTGGCATTAAACAAGTTGTGAATTTATGTCTCTCGGGCTTGACGGCTCCACTTTGCTTTTCCACAGTGAGGTGAGGGGTGCAGCAAGTCCCCAGGCCCTCTGGAGCTGCCCTCCGGGCTTCAGAGGCCCTGGGGTCCCCCAGCAGCTTCCCTTGGTGCTGGAAGTGGCAGCTTTCTCAGCGCAAATCTTGCCTGCAGTTTATTGCTCCCGCCTGCCTGCTCCTGTTTGCTTTCCCACTGCTGGAAAAGCAGGGAGGTGCAGCCCCAGCCCTCCCTGCCCTGTCCCTGTTCCCCTCTGCGGGCCAGGAAGGGATCAAAGGTCCCCCTGCCCTGGCGCAGACCCCCACGGCCTCCCCTGCCTTGGTGTGGGGCAGTTGCCAGGTGCCAGTTCCGGCACTGTTTGCGCCAGGGCGGCTGCGGTGAGGCCGTGGGCAGCACCAGGCATGGAGCTGGGGGAGCACAGACCCTGGGTCCTGCAGAGTACCCTCGAGACAGAGTTCCCGTTGCCCCTGTACAGGTAGGACCCTCGCCTGGGGGAGGAGAAACCCCTGCCCCTTCCCTGGGAGCCCGAGTCCTCTGCCATGGCTGTGCCTCAGTTTCCCTGACGTGGAGGAGGGAGGGCTGCCAGCAGGGATCTGGCTGTGGGAGAATGTGGCAGCTTTTCTGCTGACCTTACTGGCTTGGTCCCACCAGCTGGGGGGGAGTGCCCAGCCCCCCACCCCCCTCTAGCCCCATCAGATCCCCCTGCCTTTAAGGATGTCCCACAAGTGGTGCACAGCCCTGTACCCCCACACACGTGTCCCCTGTCCTGCTTGAGCCCTGGGGGGCTGCTGGTGGGAGCATGAAGCCCTGACAGCTCCCTCCCATCCCCAGCGACCAGTATATAACGCTGTGGGGGCCACGCCAGGCCCCCCTGCTGAAGCAGGCTGTGCGCTGGAAGACCACCCCCATAGGCTGGGATGCCGTGGGGCAGAGCTGGTCCACGGGGCTGAACAGCAGGGACAAGGAGGTGGAGGATCCCTGGTACGCCCTCGCCTCCGGCATCGCCCACCGCTGCTGGGAGCGGGCCCACGCTGGCCAGGGGGAGCGGGATCCTCTGCCCCCAGGTACGGAGCTGAGCTGTGGGTTTGAGGTGGGGGAGGTTGGGGGATGGATGGCGCAGGGAACTGGGATGAGAAAATGGCAGGGCAAGGAGCTGTTAGTGCCTCGGTTTAAGCACCTTGGGGGTGGTGGGGGGAAGCCCCAGGGACCCCTCAACCAAACCAGGATAGGGTTGAGCTGAAGGGCTTTGGGCTGGGGGGACCCGGCTGCGGGGTGCAGCTCCTGCTGTGCCCCTTCCCCAGCTCTGCTCCCTACCCCCAGCTTATGCCCAGCACCTGCGGGAAGTGGCCTGGTGGGACCCCGTTGTCCCTGCTGCGTACCTGGGACCCTGCACCCGCTGGGGGCCCTTCCTCTGGCAGGAGAGACCCATCCTGGGGAAGGAGTATGGTAAGAGCTTGGGGGGGGCCTGGCTGGCTGCAGGGCTCTGGGGCCCCCAGCTGTGCCCCCTCTCACCCCCTTCCCCTCTGCTTCCCAGTTGTCACCCGTAACCAGAGCCCCCGGACACAGGGGGGCAGCTCAGGGTACGTCCCTGCGCTTTCCTTCTGCCGCCCCCTCCTCACCACCCGGGACATCAGGACCTGGAGCCTCCTCCACCACCAGCCCTCCACCCGCCAGTAAAAGCCACTGGTCCTGCTGCTGTCCTGGCCTGTTCCTGGGGGGCAGGGAGGGGATGGGGGGGGGGGACGGGACAGGGGACACTGGTTGGTGCTTGTCCTGTGGCATCTGCCCTGGCAGGGTGCTGATCACCCCAGCCCACAAATCCTGCCCGGGGTCAGGTAGCTCACAGCCTCTGTCCACTTGTCCCAAGGACTAAGGCAGCCACGTGTCCTTGGAGAAGGGGCAATGTAGGGCGCCCTCCAGCCCAGTGTGCTCCCAGAAGGGGATCACATCTTTATTAATAGAATAGTCTGTCCCTTTGCCCCTGCCTTGCCCAAGACCGGGTCCCCCTCTGCCTGCCACCCCCGTTGGCAGGGAGGGGTAGGGATGGGTGGGTGGTGGGTACCTGACCCCAGTCAGACCCTCTCTGCTTCTCTTTGCCCCCCGGGGACCTGCCCGGGTTCTTCCTGCTGCTGCTTAGGGTGAGGAGACACGGGGGGGATCGATACGGAGCCCCACAGCCTGTGTGGGCTCTGGAGGTGTATTGGGGGGGCTGGAAGGTACTTGGTGATGGAGCTCCCAGCTGTTCTCCTGAGAGGTAGAGGAAGGGCTCAGAGCAGCCCCTGAGCCCGTCCCCTGCAGCTGGGGTGATGGCTCTGTCCTTGCTGGCCTCATGTCTTGTACCTGGAGAGGGGGAGGTAGGGTGAAGGGGGGGTCCCGGCTGCACTGGGGACAGAGGGACCCCTGGCCCCTGCCACTCACTGCTGTGACAGGTTGAGGTCTGGCCTAGCCTCCACAGATGCCAGCTGCTGCTCCAGTTCCATGATGCGCAGACCGATGTACATTGAGGACAGCAGCAGGGTCATCATCCTGGGGGACAAGCCGGCATCAGGCACAGGGATTACAGCCGTGTGGAGGGATGGGGCAAGAACAGTGCTGCGGCCGGGCTCCTGTGTGCTCACCCTGGGGACGCGGTGGCGGGGCCAGTGCAGGTGCCCAAAGGGGAGTGGGGGAACCCTGGGCTGCCAGTGTCACACTGGAGAGCCTGCCTGGCCAGGGTGCAGCGGGGATTGGGACCTGGGGGGTGTCCTGAAGCCCTGAGATGCAGGAGCAGGGCCTGGGAACTCACAGCAGCAGGTAGATGAGGAGGACGGTGTTGAGGAGGCTCAGCTGCGTGGTGATCTTGGCCCATAGCGTGGTGTGGGGTCCCCCTGCCAGGGTGAGGTGGTGTCAGTGCTGGGGCTGCTGAGAGCCTCAACCTGGCCCCCATGGCTGGCTCTGCCCGGGGCCGGGTGCCAGCCCTGGGATCAAGCCCCAGCAGCATCCCCCTCCCCAGGGCCCCCTGACCCACCCCAGAAGCCGCGTGGCTTTGCCAAGGGCAACCGCTCACTGCTGCTCAGAGCCAGCGCCGCCACCTCTTCATCCTCCTCCTCTGCTTGCCTTGGCGTTGGGCTCAGCTCATCTGCGTGCAACCAGGAGACATCTGATGAGCACCCCAGGACCAGGAGGGAACTGGGGGGTCTTGGGGATCCAGCAGAGCACACTGGATCAGAAGGAGCTGATCCTGTGCTCCCCAATGCTGTGGAAGATGCTGTTTAGGTGGCCAAGGGCTGTGTGGGCCCTCCTGGACCATGTGTGGCTGGGGAGGGGAAGCGGAGCCGAGAGACGTCAGTGGCGCAGAAATGCAGGTGAGGACACGTGTGCTTGCACAAGCAGGGCTGCAAGCGTGCGAGGGGGGCTGTGGGGCAGCAGCTCACCCAGCGGCTCCTGGAGGTTGTCAGGCTCTGGGGTACTCTGCTCCAGGTCTGACTGGCTTGAGGTCTGAAAAAGGACAAGCCCCAGTTGTGGTACAGGTCCCCAAGGCACCCACCCCACAGCAATGGGGACATGTGTGGGACCCAATGGGACTTGTGCCAGCCCTGAGGGTCCTGGGGTCTGTGCTGGCCTGGGCTGGGGCTTTTCAACTCCACATTTCTCCTGGAAGCCTTCCCAGGGGGCAGGCACTGCATCCATACCCCTCCCAGCCCAGGGGGCCAGGGCTGTGCCTCCTGCTGACCATTTCTCGGCCTTACCAGAGGCTTCCTAAGGATTTCCTCACTGCTCAGAGAGGCCAGAGGGCTCCAGCTGTTGTCCTGGACAAGGAGAGATAAAAGGGGGTGCTGGGGGGTGCCAGTCTCCCCCACAGCCCTGCAATGGAGGGGACAGAGCCCCTGCGTGCCCGGCCCCCGGTCTGGCACAGTGCATACCTGCAGGTGTTTGCAGACCGACTTCAGGAGCTGGTACGTGGCCTCCCGACGGTGCAGTGACACAAAAAGGAACTGCTGGGGAGCGGGAAAGTGGTTTGCACTGGAGCTGCTCCCTCAGTCATGGCCCAGAGCCCACTGGCCACAGGGACCAGGACACCCCAAATAGCCCTGGGCTGAGCTGCCCCACTCCCAGCACCATCCCCGTCCCCAATCTTACCTTCTGCCCCTCGGCAGTGCGGATGCTGAGTGCGTTGGGCACCAGGAGCGCCGTGTTGGTCTTCTTGAGGGCTGAGATGGAGGCGAGAGGAACCACAGCCTGTGCCAGGGGGGACCAGGCGGCATCACCATGTCCCTGGCTGCTGCCTGTGCTCCCTGCCAGAGCCACTGGCCCCGCACCCATCCCCACCCCACCTTGATGTCCTTGAGCAGGAGGCTGGCGTGGAAGCAGACGTGGTGGGAGGTGATGTAGAGGCGGCCATGGTAGGGCACCTCTCTCTGCCAAGCGCAGGAGAAGCAGGCCAGCAGCTCTTCCTGCTCGGTGAGCTCCCCGAAAGCTTTGCGGTAACTTGCGGTGCGCTTGCTTAGCTGCAGGGGAGGCCGGGGCGTGGGGCTGGCATGGCATGGTGCTTGGGGCAGAGCCCTGGCACCACAGGCACCCCGCAGCCCCCCACTCCGTCACCACCTCTGCCACGAAACCAGGATGGGCATTCCCTCGGCACCTGCCCCACAGAGACCATCCTGCCGGGACCATGGCGCTGGGGGAACCCTCCTGTGCCCCGTGCCTCGAGACTCACCGACGGGGACAGGTTTCCCTGCCTGCCCGTGGCCACCGCAGCCTGCTCTGTGTCCGTGCAGAAGGAGGGGTCGCAGGTTTTGGATCTGGGAGGAAGCAGCAGGCAGGGATGAGCTGCGGGGCTGCCTGCAGACCCAGCTGTGCACACATGTGGCCTTTGTGTCATCTCACCCGGGCAAGAGCACCTGGGGTTGGCACGGCTGTGCTGGACTGGTGGGAGGTGAGGGCTGGGGTGCGGGGACATATCCCCAGCAAGGTGCAGAACCCACCTGGTGAGCACAGGGTGCCCCAGCTGCGTGCTGGTGCTGCTCTTCTCCTCCAGGCTCTGCCACTGCTTCTCCACCAGCCCCCCCCTTCCACTCCTCCTCAGCTTCCCCAGCATGAAGGATGAGCCCGACATGCAGCTGGGGGAGATGGGGCAGGTTAGTGGGGGACAGTCCCCATGCTGCCCATCCCCTCAGCACAGCAGCTCCCATGATGGTGTCACCAGCCAGTCCCTCTCCCAGAGGGGACATGGCTCAGTTCCTGCTGGGACCAGGAGAGCAAAGCCCACCTGGTCACACGAGTGCTTCTCTCCATGACAGTTTCCGCAGCAGCACAGCCCTGCCCGGCAGCGGGGAGAACCCAGCAGCCCGTAGGCAGCAGTGCTGGCAGCAGGGCAGTGGTTAGTCCCTGCCTGCTGCCCCACAGCCCCGGAGGGAGCGGCACAATTACCGTCCCACCGGCCAGCTCCAGGGAAATGCCGCACCCCTGTCCTTGCAGCCTCCCCGGCACAGAGGCCCCAAACCCAGCGCCAAGAGCCACCCAGACCCTGTCCTGCCAGCCTGTACCCTGTCCTGGCGGGAGGGACGGTGTGTGCCAGGGTGGATGCCAGGTCCCCGGGAGCGGCCAGGCCAGATCTGCTGCCGGCTTGCAGGTGGGAACTGGGGTGTGATGGCCCCTGGGTCCCTCCCGGTGCTCGGAGCGAGGGTGCATGGCCCCGCTGGCTCCGTAGGGGACGGGAAGAAGGCTCAGCTGCCAGATCCACATGCGGGCAGCAGAGCCCCCTCGCCGGGGCAGGTCCTGCCCAGTCCATGCCATACCTGGTGGCGAGCACAGCCAAGCCCTCCTGTCCCGTCCGGCCTGGCCCACAGCCTGGCTCGTATCCTGCTCGCGCTCCTTCCAGAGCCGTTCCCAGCCCGCAGCTGCCTCCTCCTCCTCCTCTTCCCGCTGGCGAGGAAGGGCAGGCAGGCGGGGCCGGGACTGGCCGCAGCAGGTTTGCAGGGAGGCGTCGGGGCAAATACCAACCCAGGGCTGGCTGGGTGAGAGCCCGCGACGCTGACCCCAGGGCGCCTGGGGGGCTGCAAAGGGGTGAACGGATACCATTGCTGCCACGGCATGGCCCGGGGAGGACCACGCACCCCAGCTCCCAGTGGGATGTGGGAAGCCATCCCGCCACCAGGCCTGCCTGCCCATCTCGCCGGGCCTGTAGGCTGGGGGGCTTCTGCACGGGGAGTCCCTCAGGTTTGCAAGTGCCAGCAGGGTGATGCTGGCACCAGCCCACGTGTCCCCCTGGCAGTGGGAGTCCCATGGGGCAGCCTGAGGGGTGGAAAGGGGCACTAAGCAGCTGCAGACCTGCCAACCCTTGGGGGGGGTCCCTGGCCATGGCCCTCTGCAGCCTCTGGAGCAGTGTGGTGCAGGACCCCCACCGGGGGGGGGGGGGGAAAACCCAGTCCCAGGTGTGGCTGTGGTGAGCAGAGCTGCCTGTCCAGTGTCTCCCACCTGCACTGCCCTGAAAGGGGGCCGCGCAGGACCTGAATGAGCACCCAGTGGGTAAAAGCATGCTCTGCACGCACCTCTGTGACCACAGCCCTTGGGGAGGGGAGTTCAGCTGCCCCCAAGACAAGCTGCAAATGCATCCCCCTCCCAGGCAGAGCTGACAGCCGGAGCAGCACACTCCACAATCCTATGGGCACCCTGCAGCATTGCCCGCCCGGTGCCCATTCCCCACTTCCAGCCCCACAAGCAGAGGCTCCCTCCTGCCCTGTGCCCTCCCCAGGCAGTCCTGCAGGGCATATCTCGCCACCAGTTCCCTCAGGGTCTCTGTTGCGGGACAGAAGGTTGCTCCCAGAGGCCGAGCCCCAGGCAGGGGCAGACCGCTGAGAAAAGCGGGGAGGGGGTAAGACCAGGCTGGGGGGCTGAGCAGAGCTGGGGGTCCGGGTGGCCAGTTGGGGAGAGGCCTTCACCCTCCCCGTGGGGTGCTGGGACATGTACGAAGGGCACCCAGCCCCAGCCCCCGCCCTGGCTCAGCCTTTGCTCTCTGGACTGGGGCTGATAAAGCCTTTCCCAGAACCCTGGCTGGCTGTGGGTAACAGCCATAAACCCTGTGTACAGCACAGCGTGGCAGGACAGCGCTGCGTGGGGTGCTGCAGCCCTCACCCCCCCAGCACGCTGGGCACACACGGTGTGTCACCAACCGCACTTGCCCCCACACCCCCCCCGTCACATGCACTCCGCCCCCCCTTCCACCCACACGCAACACACAAACCACTCAC